TTGAACCTTTGGATTATCAATCTGGATCACTGAGAACCTTCACCAGCCTACCACCATAGCATTCCAATTCATGTCAACAATAACATTTCTTCCAGGTGAAATATTTTACTTCCAGAATCAGAATTCTGGAAATACAAATTATTTTTTAAAACGTATTCCAATAGTTTTAACCCTTTTATACGGCCAAGGTCCATATTTAGAGACTTCTACTCACATCATAAATGATGAAGAGACCATGAACAGGAGTTTTAACTTTTTATTTTATCTTAATGGTTAATGGGACATTATTGAAAAATAAAATAAAGAGAAACTTTGAAAAGTGAGCATGCTTTTAAATATATATATATATATATATATATATGAAAATTATCTAGATTTTTGCCACAATTGCAAAAAGAGCAAAGAATGCACATTTTTCTTTTTTAATTTCATTTCCAATATGTGGTGCCATGATGTCATTTTCATTAGGAAATCGATAAAATATCAATTTTTCACTTAACAGAAAACAGTTATTTTATTTAACTCTATCTGTTCATCATGCAGGAAACATTATGAGTTACCTACTAGGGCTGCAACAACGAATCGATAAATTCGATGAAAATCGATTACTAAAAGCGTTGGCAACGAATTGCGTCATCGATTCGTTGTGTCGCACAACTCTTCCAAAAGCGCCCCCCCTTCCCGCCCGCCGTTGCGCGCAGACCAGAGCAAGTCATCAGCGCGAGGGAGAGCCGCAGATCAGCGCGAGGGAGAGCCGCAGATCAGCGCGAGGGAGAGCCGCAGATCAGCGCAAGGGAGAGCCGGCAGATCAGCGCGAGGGAGAGCCGCAGATCAGCGCGAGGGAGAGCCGCAGATCAGCGCGAGGGAGAGCCGCAGATCAGCGTGAGGGAGAGCCGGTACAGGCAGATCAGCGCGAGGGAGAGCCGGCAGACTTGAGCTGCTGCGAACCGGTTCCGCATTGTTGCACAGCGATCCAGGCAGCTGCTTCCAGCGCACGGTCCATTCTCAAAGTGGCGCAACCAAAAAACTATAATTAGCACACGATCGTTCATGTCCGCACATGTTCTCTATTTTCTGTCTTATTTGTGCCTGAAGCGCGCTACTGCGGAGCTCATCACCTGTGCTGCGGTGATTTCACCTCACGCAGCATCGAAAACGCGCTCTGCGCTTTTCGGTCAGGAGATCCCTTTGACCTGCTCAAAAGTAACTGATGAGGTGAAAAGGTAAGAATCCAGGCAACAGATTTTCTGGAGAATTAAGAGGAGATGCAGGAAGATGAGAGACAGACAGGACAGGAAAATAGTTCAATAAAAACAAGAAAACAAAACAAAGTGTTGAAAAGTAAAATGTAGGTAGATTTATCTCCACTACACGTTTTTACCAGTAAAAAACAATAAGTTATACACATGTCATAGTTATACATCTGATACAATTCAGCTCACCTTCAAAACTCAGTCACACACCCAGGGCCGTTTCAAGACATTTTGGGGGCCAAGGCAAAATGCCCCCCCCCCCCCCCCCCCCAATAACTGGGCTCCCCAGAAGCCTCTGTGTAATCCATACCTTCTCCAGTAGTGTTAGTTATACAGTGTTTATAAAAGCCCCTCAGACATTACTGACATGCTCTAATATTATCAGATGAAAAACTAAATTATCAGACATGCTGTCTCATCTGCTTATTTTATAAACTTGCAAAAAGTAACAAAACCATTTGAAAGCCACTATTTGTGGATTCTCTGAAAGTTTCCATGGAGTGTGTGACAACTTATTTTTTCATTGATCCTATCGTCTAATCTCACAGTTGAAACAAGCATCCTTAATAATCTGTGCACAGGAAGCTTACCAATGCTGTAGTAAAACAAAAGGTAGTAATTTATTATTAATAAAACCTTGTTGCAACACTAAAGCAGAAAAATTAGATTTTGCATTAAATATGCAAAATATTTACATATGAATTGTTTTTGAGCCCTTTAATTGGCAGAATCTGATATTAATTTAGTTCTTACAAAAAATGGGTCCCAACATGGTTTGTGTGGCGTTGCCATAGTGTGACGTCATAGGCACAGATCCCCTGTCCTCTTGTTTGGAAATGGAAATATGGTCACCCTACATTAAACAAACTGTCCACCCGGGCTTTTGCGCTGCACAGAGACGCTTCGCTGCCTATGACTGAACGTCAGTTGAGAGTCAGTCTCATGCAGACTGACCAATGAAGAGAGGGCCTCAAGTTAAGACCCTCTCCTCATTGGTCAGTCCACACGAGGTGGGTCAAAGGTTACTCTGGGCGGGTTACGTGTTGTCAGGCATTCAAGTATTGAGTATATTTACTGCATATTACAGTAAAATATTCTGTATGTGACCACATTATGGTGATCCTTGGGTCGTGATGATGGAGCCCTTGAATATTGTTGCCCAGGGTACAACAAAGTGTTAATCTGGCCCTGGTTCCGCCGTCACATTCCCGCAGAAACTGGTTGATCACACCGGGGCCAGACTACTAGCATGTGGTTTTACAACCACAATGTCCTCAGAAGCAAAAACGCTTTTAAAAGGGAGGGAGGAGTCCTAACTGTTGCTGCAGGCGTGTTGTGTGAGAGTGCAGTTATATACTGGCTAATATATTTTTGGGTTCAGTTGCTTTCATGTGGCCTAATGTGAGTCTATTTGGGATCATTGGAATGATCAGCAGCATTTCTTGATGTGACTTTATGGCAGTTGCCCAGGGCATCATCGCAAGGAGGATGGCATTCATTTACTTTTGTTTTATTTGGTATTTTTTCAGTCATTTTTGGAAATAGTGATCAATTTTGATAAATTCACAGCCTATGTTTAATTACATTTAAAATAAATGTCAACAGATGAGATCAAACAAAACAGATGAGAATTGCCCTTAAGCTGTTTAACTTGGACCAAGCATTTTAGGTCACAGATAGATGTAGCTTAGGGTCTCTGTCTATACACCTTATAAGACAATTTAGGTGATGGCATGTTGTTTTTCTGCTATTGAACTGTTTTCTAATAATGTTGTGTTAAATAAAGTGAAGGAAGGAGAGAAATAACGTTTCCCTAGCAGTTTTTAAAAATTTCCCCATGTAATCCGATTAATCGATTAATCGTGTCGAGACCCCATCCGATTAATCGATTATCCAAATAATCGTTTGTTGCAGCCCTATTACCTACAAGAGAAATACAAATCAAAAGCCAAATTCAAACTCATCTGCCCTAAATACATCCACATAACTGCTGCATGTTTCACCGCGTAACATAATCATGCCTTTTATATCAACAAATCTTCCGTTTGCAGCAGTCAGCTCTTCAGTAGGACTCCTAACCCCCACCCCAACTCATGTTCTGCTTTAGTGGAAATGCTACAGGAAATAAACTGGCGACATGCTGCACACTCTTTAATGCCTCAGTAAATATCGACAGAAGAACAGATAGTATAAACTCGGACAAGGCTGAGCACAGAGCGATCACTTGTTCACTACTGTGTAGTGTGCACTGAAATGGAGACTAGAAATTGCTGCAGGTCAATTATAATATCTGTGGTGATGGAAGACACTAGTGTCAGCATGGGCTGGTAACAGTAGATCACTTGAGACAAGTAATCTGGCAGGCAACATATGCTCATCTGATGAGACAACGGTTTGGAGGGGATGATGGAAATCAATAATCCCAACCACCAGCCTAAATCCGCCAAGCTGAATGATCTGTTTGCTTTTTCTAAACACATATATTCAAGAATCTTTTTAACAGACCACAATAACTCACTTTTAGTGCCATTAAAAACCTGCAAGAACCTCTGCAGCTATGAATCAAAACTACTACCACATCACCACAACGGAACATCACACACATGACTGAAGCCACGAGAGAACCAAGGTCACTGCAGGAAACAAACTCAGTTGCAGAGTAAAACAGAAAACTGCTACAGTATTGTCCTTGAATTACCCAATTACGACACATCAATCACCGCAGGGAGACAAGGGAGCTCCCCCCTTCCCCATTTTGAAGTTGACGGGAAGAAACGCGGAAAGGGAAAACATGGAAATAATTGGTGGAGGTGATAGAGAGCTGAATAAAAGGAAGATGGATCGAGAATGTCACACGATTAGCAACATCAGAGGCTACTGTCCAGAAAAGAGCTGGAGCATTGAAATTGAAGCTTGTGCTGGAACACAATAGTTTGCGCAGGAGGTAGACCTCTCTTCCCAGCCAGGATACTGGTCTTTGTGAACACAGTTACAGTATCTGGGTCAGTTAATGTTTCCCTGCATCAAGTTTCTCCTTTGTTGTCAGAAGAATACTATGCAAATTCATGTAGATGCTTAAACGAAACATAGGGTTCGGAAATTGATGTGTGCCACTTGCATCAAGAAAAAGGTTAAAAGCAAGGCTTTGTCTTTATTTTCCACATTTGCATGCACACACTCATTAATATATTCATTCCAGTATTAGCTTCCATGTCTGACGCTGCACACAAAGACGTTGTTGCGCGCCTGCTGCCTCCCCTTCACAGCTATGCGAGACAGGTACCGATGTCAAATCTATGTCTGAGCCGCAAATGAACACAAGGTTGTCTGTTTAGAAGCGACAAAAGGCAGCTCTAAATGTACCGCTATAGGAACAAAAGGTTTAAATGAAAGAAGAGAAAGCTGTGGGGAAATGGGAGTGGCTCTCTTTCATGTGCCTGCCAATTTCACACATGACGACGAAGCTCTTTACACTCGTGCAGCTTAGCATAATGAGACAAACAAGCACAGCTGAGAGAGAAATGGGGCAAAAATTGTACAGCGTCACTGTGCAATAACCAGATAGGCGAAAGAAAGAAAAAACAGACGTGTATCCTTTTTTAAGGTTAAAATCAGTAAAAGAAGTGGAACCGTTTGCTCTACACGCCAAAAAGGGCTGTCCCACAGACGAAAAATGGCACTGAAATCCACAAATCAGCCCTTGAAAAAGCAAACAGTTTACTCCATAGTGCTGATGTATTGTCTTCTACACTGAAAAAAGTATATTTAACAATAGTCAATGTAATGTAATATTTTACGAAAATTAAATGTACATTTTTTGAGTTAAGGATCACAACTCAAAAATGTGGTGGCAAACAACTTGAAACTGCCCAACTAAGGGCAAAGTGATGTTTCCTTATTGAACCAAAGTGCTGAATTTAAATAGAACTAACTAGTGCGTATGACGTCATCACGTCAGATTTATTCCCGCCTCTGAAGTTCTAGATTGACCATCTACCAGCACCATTCTCGGAACCGGAGCTGAAACAACGGTAAGTTCTTCGGTAAAATATGGTTTTATGTAGTAATATTATGACTTTATAACTGTATTAATGAATGTGCTTTACTTTTCAATATGTTTTAAATGCTAGTGGTATCAACTTAGGTTTTGTAAAACCACAGTGAGTGCCAAGAATATTGTTGGTGAGATTTAGATTTTTAGACAAAGGATTTTTTTTATTAAACGGTAATTTTTCTACGTTTTTGTCGATTTAAAAGGTTCTTATCACAGAACTCCCGTGATGCGTAATAAGAGGCGTCTTCTCTGCCCCAGCAGTTGTTAGCAACAACGCCATAGAGTGTAAAAACGTAACACTCATTATTTGCCCGTGAAAGTCAGTTGAGGAAGCCCCGTAGATTCTTCTCTCTCTCTCTCTCCCTGCCGGCACGTGCCTGCTTCGCATTCGGCACGTGCCTGCTTCGCATTCGCGACTGCATGGTCCCTTCCTTCCCATCGTTGAGCTGCGTTCTGTACCGCGATCATGAAAATGACAGAAATACGTCTCCATCGGAGGATAGTTTAAAAGGTAAGAAAACGTATGAAAAGTATTAAACTCACCATCAACCCAGAAGGTATTTCTGTCGATGCCTCCTTAGTTTTCATGTCCTCCTGTTAGCCTAAATATTACTAGTGGTGTTGGATAAACTGGCTGAATTCTCTACTTTAAGGATTAAATTCTCGTCGTCCAGGATCAAAAAGTAGCAAATTAGATCCACAGACAAACTAACTTCAATCCCAGTGTCAAGTGTAGTCAAATTTAGAACCCGTTTAACTTTTGTTACGGTTATTTCCTTGTTAACCAGTATTTTGAAAATCTCCGGAATTCGTGTCTGATTTTCTGTCTTCCCCTATCAAAACTGTAGAGCTTGACTCGTTTAAAGCCGGGCGGACACTATGCGACTTTTTCACTCAGCTTCAGCTCTTAACTGTACGACTTCCTCGCAGGGCAGTTCTCACAAGTCATGCGCTCACACTGCACGACCCAGTTCTCTGTTGTGACCTGACTGCTCACTCTGTACGTATGATAGCAACACGTCGGCCCTAAAAATATGCTAAAAATAGCAGTTTTTACTCCACGTCAGACTTTTTTGTCTTGCCTGTTGTCCTTCAGGAGTGCTGCAGGGACACGGATTTATGGGGGCTGGTGGGGAAAACGAAATAAAGTAAATCTGTGTTTTGTGATCAGGTTAATTTGACATGAACACGACAAACACGCTTTCTTGACAACCTTTGTGAGTAAAAAAACATGTAGAAATAAAAACGAACAACGTGTGTTATTAGGGAAATAGCGAGCAGATGCAGGATTGCGCATGCGCCGTGAGCGGTTCTGATACTTTTTGGGTCGCAGCTGCTCGCAGCATCGCTTCAACAGTGCGATACCATCACGAGGGACGATCAACATTTCAAACACACCAGAAGTTTGTGCGAGCTTACGATTGCTAATCGGTAGTTGGTCACGTGGTGTTAATCGCCTCTCATAACCCCCTGTACACTACAAGATGCTCAGCGCAAAACTCTCCCCGATCTTGTGGATTCTCGCACGACTGGAAAATCGGCTCAAAAAAGTGAAAAAGTCGCACAGTGTATGCCCGGCTTTAGACACTACAGCATTTAGTGTGCAAAAAGGGCAGTCTTAAGGATTTGGTGTTAATCACTAGAATAATAAAATGTAATGAAAATGTTTACAAATGTAATGTCAGTAAAAAAACTTGTTTTTTCCCCCCAGTCTTTTGTTTCACCATATCTGTAATATCAGATTCAATATTTAAAGTGGGGTTGTATGAACACATTTGTAATTTTTTCTTTTCCCCTTCAGCTCTCCTGATTCCTTTTTGCCTTGTTCAATGTAATGTAAGTTATCAATGAACACTGGCACTTTGATAGATGGAAAGTTTAACCGCTTATATATTAATTAATTTTCTTCTTCTCTTGCTCATTTTTCCTCAGTCCCTGGTAGAAAACCACCCAACATCTGGAATTGCAAATGTGAGTTTTGTATACATTTAATTAAATTATTAATTTTTGTTATTTTATTTATTAAAGGCCCTATCACGTTTGCATTAAATACTACATTATTGCTGTAAGTCAGCCCATTAGTGTTCCTGTGTTCCACTGAAAAGACATAGCTTTTCAAGTAAGTTTTTAAATTTAAGTATCTTCTGGGCCAGCCTCTTTGTAAACGAGTATTATATCATAGGAATGCTAAAAAAATCTTGAGGTTCCAATATTATCTGCTAATAAAGAATACAATTAAAACAGTAGACATGACACCACCTCCCCCATCATTGTTTAGGTTTATTACAGTCAAATCTGATGTAAAGATAATAGTTCATTTTATATTACTTGGTAACAATACCACAAGAGACCCTAGTTGTGCCTCAAAATAGTTTTTGTTTCTTAAAATAGTTCAAGGACAGCTTAAATTTACAATTGTGTTTGTATAACATTAAGGGTAAAAATTGTAGTAATGTTAAGAAATTAAATCTGCCAAATAATTACAGTGCAATTTCAGCTGTGCAATAAAACAGTCCAAATACAACCCCCAACTTTGCTTTCTTTCGAGGACCCAAGGGAATTTCTTATTTTAAAGTACTTTTTTATTATCAATAACATGCTTGGCCCCATGAACAGAATACTTTCTTTATGCATTGGGTTGATTTTTTTTTAAATAATTTTTTTAAGTGTGTTAAACTGAATTATATTTGATTTTAAAGGAAGTAAATTACATTTTAACCGATGCAAGAAAACATTCCAAATACAATCCCCAACTTTGCTTTCTTCAGATGACCCAAGGGAATTTCTTATTTTAAAGTACTTTTTTATTATCAATAACATGCTTGCCCTCATGAACAGAATACTTTCTTTAAAAATCTTCTGTATATTCATTCTGTGTGTGTGTTCATGATTGTCTTCATTTTTCTTTTGTAACACAGAGAAATTAGGTGTTTACCTTTTGCTGACATGTTTCGGCTGGAACTACCCCCTTCGTCAGAGCCATCAGCTGTTCGCTGGCGTTTTTTCCGTTTATGTGCGGGCAACAAAGGACGATGTCGCCCTCTGCTGCCCGCGTCCTCCCCACTGATGACACAGTCCCATGCGTGGTCCAACATGTATACCCCGTCGTCCCTGTTCATGGTGTTGTGTCCACGTCTCCTTATCTCTATCGCTTTCTTAATCCATCTTCTGTATTTTTGTTCTGTGTTAATGATCTGTGTGCTGTCTGCGGGCAGCAGAGGGCGACATCGTCCTTTGCTGCCCGCACATAAACGGAAGTGACGCCGCGAACAGCTGATGGCTCTGACGAAGGGGGTAGTTCCAGCCGAAACATGTCAGCAAAAGGTAAACAAACACCTCATTTCTGTGTTACAGTGCTTACGGTATGTGCCCACCGCACACGATTCTGGTTGTTTTGCGAAATAATTCAATGTAAAATCAATGGAGCAGCGCGACCATGAGTGACATGGCGTCACACGTCAACTCGGAAGCAGCTGTGCGTCCAGAAAGCGCGAGATTACCTCACCTCAGCGGCAGGTGCGAGCTGACGAGGCGTGTCATTTGTGACTGCTCCAGCTGCTGCGTGTGCATCTGGCAAAAGGAAAATCTGATTGCTCAACTTGGAATGGGCCTCACTGAGAGGAATAGAAGAGAGGAGACTCGACATCTGGTGAGTTTATTTTGCTGTCGGAATGTTCAGGAGGTACTGTCGCCATGGAAACACATATACAGTATATGCGATATCAGTAGATCCTTGCATGTCCGCCTAGACGCCCGTCCAAATTGGTCAAAATATTGACATTAGCTGTGCGTTCAACTCGTCCTGCACGCCCGGCAAGGTGCGACTTCACCTGCGTCCGAACAGAGGAGTGTACCGCAATTTTAACGCCAGAATCGCGTGCGGTGGTCACGTACCATTACAGACTGCACGCGATTCTGGCGTTAAAATCGCTGTAAACATCTATTTGGACGCACCTGCAATCGCACCTTGCCGTGCGTGCAGGAAGAGTTGAATGCGGGGCTAAATGTAAGTATTTTAATCGATTTGGTCAGGCGTCTAGGCGGACATGCAAGGATCTACTGATCCACATAGACTGTATATGTGTTTCCATGGTGACAGTACCTCGTGAAGGGTTCCAACAGTAATATAAACTCACCAGGGTATCCAGTCTCCATCTTCTATTCCTCTCAGCGAGGTCCATTCCAAGTTGAGCAGTCAGCTTTTCCTTTTCCCAGGCGTCACGCAGCAGCTGCAGCAATCGCAAAACACACGCCTCGTCAGCTCGCATCTGCCGCTCAAGTGAGGTGATTGCGTGCTTTCTGGACGCACAGCTGCTTCTTAGTTGACGTGTGATGTCCTGTCTCTCACGGTCGCGCTGCTCCATTGATTTTACATTGAATTATGCCGTTGGATGAGGAAAACGAAATAAAGAACGTAAATCTGTGTTTTGTGATCAGTTTAATTTGGCATGAACACGACAAACACACTTTCTTGACAATCTTTGTAACAAAAACGTGTAGAAATATAAACGAACAGTGTGTGTTATTAGGGAAATAGCGAGCGAGCGGTGTTGATGCATGATTGCGCATGCGCCGTGAGCGGTTCTGGTACTTTTTGGGTCGCAGCTGCTCGCAGCGCCGCTTCAAGCGCTGATGCGCTGTGTTGAAGTTCAGAATGTGTTTACCGGTAGTTGGTGGATTTAACCATAAACTTTCCACATGAACAAAATCATATCTGTGTTATTAACCGGTCTAAGAAAATAGTGTGATTTGAATTGTTTTATTAACCCTCTGGGGTACATGGACGCATATCCGCGTCTTTTGAACAGGTCTGATTTGGGACGCTGTAGCAGCAAGACTCCGCCTCCCTGACTTTTGGTTTCAATTCAGCTTTAAAAAGGAGATTATAAACTACACCCCTGTTTTTACATTTTGTTAATAGGCAACGTAAAAGCGGAGTTATACTAAACTAAAAAATTATCTATTTTTAGACAATCTGATAACTTGTCTAAACAGCAGTTTAGTAATCCGTGAGAGGGAATGTGCTTGTGAACGTAAAAAATCCCCCACAAAAACATGAGATCCTTTTGCTGTTGGTGGAAGTCTCACATATTCAGTTTATTAAAAGGATCATTATGTAGCTGAGAGAGAGAGGAAGGCTGCATGAGTAACGAGATGTGCGCAAAAAGGAGCCGCTTTGCGGGGAAAGCAGTGGCGCGAGCGGAGTAACAACAATTAGACAGATATTGACGGTAAACCTCATATTTTGGAGCGATCCGGACAGATATGTTGTCTCTGCAGTTTAGCAGGCTCTTATTAGGCTTTAATAAAGGATGATGAGAAGGATAAATGTCCACCAGGCAGTTCAGATAGTACGGCTGTTTTTTTAACTGGAAGAAGAGGAAGTGGACGGAGACTCACAGCCGGAGTCTGACGCAAATAGCGAGGATGTTGATGATGATGTAGCAGATCCACAGGTCTGTCTTCGCTCACGTCCGCACGTTCACGCCACGCCTCTTGTTTTCTACTACGTTCGCTTCTCACAACAACACAATAGGCACACCGCACCACAGGGCGCAGCGTACATTTTGGAGAAAATTTTAGACTTTTAGGTGCGCCTTATGGTCGTGAAAATATGGTAAATTACATTTAAACTGATGCAACAACTTTTTAATCTGCAACAAAACTATTAACCTCTGAAGCTCTCATTGACTGGTGTTTAAACAGTGGTCTTCCTGAAGGAGGAGAAAAGTGTGGACAAACTCATTTGTAACAAGTGGTCCATCTGTCTTCTTTTTCTAGTGTCAAATTGAATGGCATGGAGTTGCAAAGACTGTCATAGTGTCTTCACAAGAAGATCTCAACTGCTTGGGCACTACAAACTAAGCCACGGACAATATGGAAGAGGTCATTCTTATCCATGCACCTATTTAAGTTGTGCCTGCCGATTCAAAACTTGGAATGCTTTACGGAGCCATCTAGCAAGATGTCATTCCTCTTTTAAACCACAAACAAAGGCATCAGCATATATATGTCCCGTTTGTTCTTGTAGTCTGCATTCTACAGAAAGGGATTTCTTTCATCATATTTTTGCTCATCTTAAAAACAAAGTGTGTGTCACTTGTGTGTACCAGAACTGTTTCTACAAAACAAATGTCTATGAAAACTACAAAAGTCATAAATACAGAAAACATTCTGGTAAAGTTGATGAGTTTAAACCAGAAATAGTTTTACTTACAAAAAACCCTGAAGAATTATCTGCCAGTGTTGCTGTTTTCTCAGATGGGGAAAGCAGTATTGGCTGTAATGAAACTTTAGATGATGATGCTGAGCAGTTAGAGAAGGATTTTGAGATCAAACTTGCTTCAGTTCTTCTTAAGTTAGAAAGTGTTTTTCTTGTGTCTAATGCAGCAGTCGATGAGCTCTTACAAGAGTTGAGTTATTTGATCGGTTCGCTCTGTGTACCAGTTACTAAGAATACAGTTGTGCAAATACTTCAACAGAATAACTGTCCTTTTGACCATTTACTTGTGGAAAATTTAGCAAGTGCAGTTTGTGACAAAAACCCTGTTAAAAAGGCAATAAGGAAAAAAGGGCCCCTCTCCAGTGTTTGGAGGCGAAAGGCTTATTATAGAAGACATTTTGGTGTAGTTGAACCGTTAGAATATTTTCTTGATAAAAAAAATGGAAAGTCATTTCAGTATATTTCAATTTTAAAGACTCTACAGGAAATCTTGGACTGTGAAGCAATACTGAGTCAAACAGAGCATATACAAACATTACATAAAGACTCAGGAGAAGGCATTTACAAGTCATTTTTTGATGGTGCCATATTCAAAGAAAAAGTTCTCTCAAACGAGGAAAGCATTTCATTAATATTATACATTGATGATTTTGAGATATGCAATCCCCTTGGGACATCTAAAAGAAAGCACAAAATTTGTGGATTGTATTGGACTCTCGGTAATTTGCTCCCCGGTTGTAACTCTGCATTGTCGTCTATTTACTTGGCAGCTTTAATTAAGAGCAATGATCTAAAGTCTTACAGTTATGCAAAAGTCTTAGAGCCTCTAATAAGAGATCTTCTGTTTTTGGAACAGAGTGGTTTGTATGTTCCAAAGTTAGGTAAAACCCTCAAAGGAACCCTTCAATGTGTAGTGGCTGACAACCTCGCTGCACATGGTATTGCTGGGTTTGTAGAGAATTTTACTGGAGACTACATTTGTCGCTTTTGCACTGCAAAATCCTCTCAATATCAAACAACTGAGGTTAACAGAGGAACATTTACATTAAGAGACAAAAATATTCATTCAGATCACCTAAAAAGTCTTGAAGGAACTGAAATATCCAGTTGTTATGGTGTCAAGTCAAATTGTGTCTTGTCAGAACTGTTGTATTTTGATCTAACCAAAGGATTTCCACCGGACCTTGCCCATGATGTTTTTGAGGGCATAGTTCCTTTTGAAATTGCCCTTTGCCTTGGAGTTTTCATTAAAAAAAAATATGTCACACTAGTTGCTTTGAATGAAGCAATATCATCATTCAACTTCAAATGGAGTGACAAAACTGACAGACCTCACCCTGTTGCTCAGAGTTTTGCATCAAAAAAGACTGTGGGCGGCAATGCCCATGAGAACTGGAGTTTGCTTCGATTTCTTCCCTTGTTGTTAGGGCAAAGTGTTCCTTGTGAGGAGCCAGCTTGGCAAGTTCTTTTGGACTTAAAGGACATTGTTGAAATAATAGTTTGTCCAGTTCAGACAGAAGAGTCCGTTGCATATCTTGATTTTAAGATTTCAGAGCACAGGGTCAAATTCCAAGAGGTCTTTACTGACTGTGAACTTAAGCCCAAGCATCACTTCCTTGAGCACTATCCGCACTTGATACGTCAGTATGGACCACTTGTTGCCCTCTGGACAATGCGCTTTGAGTCAAAGCACAGCTTTTTTAAGAGAGTTGCAAGGAACGTCAGATGCTTCAAAAATGTGTTGCTCACGCTTGCAGAAAAACACCAGCTACAGATGGCTCACCACCTACAGTCCTGCAAGGTTTTGAAACCTTCATTGGAAGTTTCCACTGTCACCAACGTTCAAACGGACATTCTGAACAAGGACATTGTAAGCGCTCTTAAACAAAAGTCTGTAAATGTAGAGACCGTTGCCTTTGCTGAAAGTGTGACACACAATGGACTTCTTTACAAATGTGGAATGATCCTGGTCCATGGCTCGCTGGGAGGACTACCAGAGTTTTGTGAGATTATCCACATGGTCATTCTTCACAACAACCCTCTGTTTGTTGTCAAAAAGCTCAGTGTGTGGTACATTGAACATTTTAGATCATATGATCTAAAATGTTCTCCAAACAAGGAAGTAGAAGTTCTGGAGCCTAAAGAACTGCTTGACAGATACCCCCTTGTTGACTACAGAATTGGAGGAATGCGCCTTGTCACTTTAAAAAGATACATTCATGTTTAAAGGGTGAGGAGAATGATGTGTATGCAATGCTTGTAATTGGAATATTTGTGTCATATTAACTAGTTAAAGAATCTTTATATACAGTTGCAGGAAAAGGTTTGTGAACCCTGTGGAGTTTCATGGATTTCTGCCCGTTGTGGTCCTAAAATGTGATCTGATCTTCATCAAAGTCCCAACAATAGACAGTCTGCTGAAACTAAAACCACGAAAATAATTTTGTTTTTATTTTTTTATTGAACACACCATGTAAACATTAACAGTGGAGGTGGAAAAAGCTTGTAAACCCTTGGATTTAATAGCGGATTGAACCTCTTTTGGCAGTAAGAAGTTCAACCAAATGTTTCCTGTAGTTCAGATCAGACCTTAGGAATTCATCTTTTCTTCCATGAGAGCAATCCCCCCAGGCCCTGACGCAGCAAAGCAGCCTCAACCACGATGCCCCACCACCATACTTCTCAGTAGGGATGAGTTTCGGATGTTGCTGTACTGAGCCTCTTTTTCTCCACGCAGTGTTGGGTAGTTCTTTCAACAACTCAATTCTGGTTCCATTTGTCCAAAGAATATGTGCTAAAAGGGTTGTTGGCACATCCCATTGATTTCTTTCAGTCTTTAGCTGATGCTTGGATTCTTCTCCTCATTGAGCATTATTGAACAGTAATTGCTGTCAAAGGAGCTTCAACTATTTATTGTTCACATACTTTTTCCACGTGCACTCTGAATGTTTACTTAATGCATTATTTTAGTTTGAAAACACATAATTCTATGTGTGGTATTTTAAGGCAGACTGATTATTGTTGTTGCTTAGAATATCAGATCACATTTTACGGCCAATTTGTTTTTAGATATTTTGATGCTAATTTCAGAACGGGGTATTTAACCCTAAGCTTTACATGTACTTTTTTTTTGTCCTTAAGAACATGAAGTAGAGACTCATGCCAATTGTTTGTTTTTCAGATTACCATGGCTGCAGCAAGACTTAAAGTCATCTTGGGCGAAAACAATGTGGAAAAATTGATTCTTCCAAATGGTATACCCCAGTCTTTATTAGAACTTGTCAATGTCGTAAAGAACACCTTTGGAATCACAACAGAAATTCGCCTGCAATACATGGACCAAGATTTTGGAAATGAGTTCTTCAATCTAAACGCAACCTCTGAACTGCAGGATTTGGGAACAATCAAGGTGGTTCAACAGGAAGTTGTTCCACTCATAATCACACTTACTGATGATGTTTCATCAGCTTGTGCCACTTTTGATGCTGTTGATTGCTCTTTACAGGCATCAAACAACACAAACATACTCCCTTCTCCTCCAAAACTGTCATTTCGAAGCGTGCAGTGGCCGGCGGTGTTTCCTATTCCACAATTTTCGTATGACACCGAGCTTGTGCTTGAAAGGGGAAATGCTGAATACAAATCATCCTCCAAATTGGTGTATCTCAGCACAAGAACCAAATCTGACATTCTGAACAAAGTATCTGAAGAAATCTTCAAGTACAAAGCTTATCCATGTGATGAACACTTTGTTGCAGTGGCAGAAGCTTTAATCAAAAAACATCCGTGTTTGAAGGAACCTGGATCCTCAAATGGATGGTACGGATGGAAGCAGAGGCTCAAGTACAAAATGGGAAATCTTAGAACCCAGCTCAGACTGCACGGGTGCCCAGAGGTAGCTGTTAACTCCATGAAGTCCAAAGTTACAGAAGGATCTTCTGGCAGAAACGTAAAAAGGCCTAAAAGGGCAGAAGCTAACTTTTATCCATCTTTGCCAACTGGGGACACTTCCGAATCCCTTGAACAGGAAAGACTTTCACTTCTGACTGAAGTGAAAATAAGACACAATGACCGGGTCATTGCAGACAAAATGGCACGCACTTTTGCATACAGGCGACAAGAGGTGGTGGACGGTGAGCCAAGAATCCAGGATTTTAAGGGTCGATGGCCGGCTCTTTTTGATCAACGAGAGGTAAGAAGACATTGTTATTTAATTTAATCGTTGACAGAGGCTTTATATATTAAAGCTTTTATGTTTTTCTTGCAGATCAATGCAGAGTTCCAGAGGCTTGTAGCTCTTCCCCTAGAGCAGAAGTTTTTTTCCCAACTTGACAAGTACTCCACCAAATTGATGACCGCCATTCGCTCAAGAGGAGGATCAACCAGGGAGAAGATATCTGGGCTGACACAAATCTTTGACCAGGTGAACTAAATTCAGGAGACCAATGATGAGTAACCAAAGAAAAACACAATGTTGGCTTTGTTTCTTATTACATTGTATCTCTCAAAACTAGACCGAAGACGTCAACAAAAAAAGAGAGTGTGTCCTGAAAGCCCTCGTCCCTTTCCTTGGAGAGGATGGAAATGCTTTCATCAAAGAATACACGGTAAGTAAATCTTTAAACGGGTAAATAAAAATGTTCTGAATGATTGTGTGTATAAAGTGTTTAGCTTAGAACTATTGTCCTTTTGGGCACCACAAGGACAATATTTGGTAGAAAATTAAGTTTTACTAAAATACCAAAAATTACCAGACGTGGCAGCCTCATAGCGCTTTCACACAAGGATCAGATCAGCTCACTTTGGCCCAGCATCACTCGGCCGGTCTCGGTCCAGTTGTGTTCAGATTGCTGTCTGAGGAATCGGGCCATGGGCGGAGACAGCAGGCGGGGGGAAGGAAGGCAGGTAAACAGGGGGACAGCATTGAGGATAGCGTGGGATATCACGGAAGAAAACAACAAAGGATGATGTTTTTTTTTTTTACTTTGTGCGCAGACTGCGGTTCTTTTAAAAGAAAATACCGTAGTTTCACGACCATAAGGCGCAGCTTCAGTTACGTGTCTTTTTGGTATTTAACACATACAAAAGGCGCACCAGGTTATAGGGTGCGGGCGTGGGCACGGTAAAACGTACCGGTAAAACATCTGTGCGGGTTCGGGACTCGGAACATATCAGTGCAAACCAGACATTGTGAAAATTATAACAGCCAAAAGCATGCTTCACTTTATGGGCTCGACACACGGGAGGCGACATCGCCTCTCCTCCATTCATTTTCAATGAGACATGTGCGAAAAAGCGATAATCGCGGGTCTCTCTCCTACCAAGCGAAAAACGTGCATGTGAAAGTTTGCACTCGTGCACGTGTCGTGCACGGACGATCCAGCGACACGATCCCAGAAAGTTGAAACATTTTCAACTTTTCATCGCTGTCGCTCGGACGAGGACCAATCAACGGAGGTTTCATTCACTGACCAATGAGCGGACAGGATGCTCCGTACACCTCCGAGCAAACATGATGGAGAAGTTGATTATTATTATGTTTATATATTAAAATCAGAAGTAAGATTTCACATAACTCTAGCAGCACCTTGTGAAACATCATATCTACCACTTTATTAACTCTGAACCGCTTAAATAACCTTAATTCCCTCCAACCTGACACAGCCAAGCAAAACAACGGAAGTTTCGATTTCGCCATGGAACAGAACGCGTAGACGGCTTTGCCGCTGCCGCGTATCGCCTCCCGTGTGACAGGTAATAAAAGCGACAGCGACAAATTTCGCTGATCGCGGTCGTTTGTCGCCTCCTGTGTGTCGAGCCCATTACTGGTCTAGTCCTGGTTCAGACCTGGTTTAGAGCGCACGTGCACTTCCTCATTGCGTGCGCTGACGGCTCGTGCTCTTCTAATGGGCTCGACACTCGGGAGGCAACTTCGCCTCTCCTCCATTCATTTTCAATGAGACACGCGTGACAAAGCGATAATTGCGGGTCTCCCTCCTACTAAAGCCGGTCGTACACCGGGAGTGCTGCAGGAGGACACAGGGATTTATGGGGGTTGGATGAGTAAAACGAAATAAAGAAAGTAAATCTGTGATTTGTGATCAGTTTAATTTGACATGAACAAGACAAACACGCTTTCTTGACAATCTTTGTGAATAAAAAACGTGTAGAAATAAAAACGAACAGCGTGTGTTATTAGGGAAATAGCGGGCGAGCAGTGTTGATGCATGATTGCGCATGCGTCGTGAGCGGTTCTGATACTTATTGGGTCGCAGCTGCTCGCAGCGCCGCTTCAACTTTGCGATATCCTCACGAGGGACGAGCAAAATAACACGCCAGTAGTCTGTGCGAGCTCACGATTGCACGGTTGAAGTGGTGCAGCAAGCGGCTGAGACCCAAAAAGTACCAGAACTGCTCACGGCGCATGCGCAATCATGCATCAACACCGCTTGCCCGCTATTTCTCTAATATCACATGTTCGTTTTTATTTCTACACGTTTTTTTTACTCACAAAGATTGTCAAGGAAGCGTGTTTGTCGTGTTCATGTCAAATTAAACTGATCACAAAACAGTTTTGCTTTATTTCGTTTTCCTCATCCAACCCCCATATATCCCTGTGTGTCCTCCTGCAGCACTCCCGAAGGACAACAGCTCTGTACATCTCTGAGCAAACATGAAGAAGTTGATTATTATTGTTTTAAATAGTAAAATCAGAAGTAAGATTTAACATAACTAGCAGCACCTTGTGAAACATATCTACTGTTTTTTTTTAAACTCTGAACCACTTAAATAACCTTAATTCCCTCCAACCTGGCACAGCAAAACAAAACGGAAGATTCACATCCCCTTATGCGCTGTGTTGAAGTTCAGAATGTGTTTAGTTGGTAGATTTAACCACATAAACTTTCCACATGAACAAAATCATATGTTTGTTATTAAAAGGCCTAAGAAAATAGTGTGATTTGAATTGTGTTTTATTAAAAAAGGCAGTGGGAGCAAATATGAGTTTGGTTGTGCTTTATTTGAGCGCTATTACCAGTAATTAATCATCAAATCCAGGCTCGTAGCCTTACTTTGAACGCCCTGTTCACGCCAATGTCCAGCGGTTGGAGTTCCTTTGTCAAGCCTCCTGGAATAACAGAGAGCTCCGAGTTAATTTGCTTTACCCGTTTTTTCACATCGTCCGTGAGATGAGCGCGCATGGAGTCATAGATCAACAGGGACGGTGACGTGTGGAAAAAAACCGCCTGGTCTCTTCACATACACCTCATTCAGCCACTCTTTCATTTTGTCCTCATCCATCCAGCCCTTTTCGTTAGCCTTGACGATGACTCCAGCTGGAAATTTCTCTTTAGGCAGAGTCTTTCTCTTAAAAATCACCATAGGTGGCAGTTTCTGTCCATTAGCATGGCAGCCAAGCACAACAGTAAATGCTGATTTTTTGCGTCCCGTTGTGCGTATCGGTACCGTGCTAGTCCCCTTCTTCTCAACAGTGTGATTCACCGGGATGTCAAAGGTGAGCGGCACTTCGTCCATGTTGGTTATGTGACTGGGTCACTTGACCGCGGTGTTTACAATGTCAGAACACCTGCATGAGACGGGATGTTAATTACAATCTGCCAGAATGACTCACCTTCAGATTCCTCCAACATCGTTAAAAATGATCAAATATGGAACATATCGGCGTGCGCAGGCCAGAGTGCTGAAGCTCGGCGCATTGTTATTATGAAGCTAGGGCACATGTGGAGGACACACACACACGCGCAAAAATATACTTGTTTTCAATTACATTTATTGTGCCCACTTACTTTTTCTTAGGCCCACCCACAAATGAGTTTCTGGCTACGCTAATGGTGACATATGACAGACTTCTCTGAGCTCCGCAGCCATTACACGGGGTGCGCGCACCACACTTTGGGAATCCCTGGTCTAAGGAAATATCCATTGAAATTTTGTTGAAGGATTAATATAAAAATAAAATTCGGTACAGGGACGATTCCAGCCATGATAAGCTAAATGTGCCAGCTGACAGACTTTTGTGTTGTTTTGCAGGACAGTCACAGAGCAGAGATGCAAAAAGACCTGGAAGACGTCACGATGGCTGTGTATGTCATCCGGTCCGAGGGAGATGAACTTCAAGGGCCTCCTGAGGACATTGGGATTGTAATCGAAGGAGTAGAGGTTCTTGATAGACTGTCCTCAGTTGGAACAGCATGTGCACTCCTGTTAGGTTTGATCTACATTCTTAATCTGGCTTATCCAAAGGTCCTTCGCTTTACATTTGAGGTGTTGCAGAAAATTATAATGGAGCTGGAACCTCAAAAGATGTCTCCAAAGGTGCAGAACCTGTATGTGAAACTGCTAAATATGAATTAATATTGGTGGTTTGCAACCACAAGATCAGTTTTTGCCATTTCCTTTTCCAAAATGTACCTGTAGCACAGGTATGTTGTTTGTAGCTGTCTTTTTTCCCAGCATGGTGCAGAAACTATAATCTAAGCCTTGATTGTTCACTGACGGTGAAGTAATTTGAAAATAGAATTTCTAGGATTTTCCAATTCTAAGTAATACTTAGATAAGTGAGGGGAAAAAACATTCTGTAACCAGTCCAGTCATTCTCCTGATCTGGCAACAGACAGTTTACTTTAGTTGAGCATAAAACAATAAAGGTAAAGGGGAATGAAATGCTTTTGTTAAAATTAATTTATATTGTTTTTGGGCTAAAACGAAGCAAATAGACTGCTGCTAAAACAGGAGAAAAACTGGGCTGTTACAGAATGTTTTTTTTTCTCATTTACCAAAGTTTTACTTAGGATTGGAAAATCCCTTTAAAGCCAAGTGTCATCTACTCTGTTTTTTATATGCACTTCAGTTTAGATTTGTTCTTTTGCTGCATCTTGGTTTTGATTCTGGTTCAGCCATGGATTTTGGATTGCATGTAGGTTTCAGTGAAATGAGTTTTGCCTATGGTTCAAATTAAAAGGGCACCATTGATGGTACATCAGCTGACTTTTTAAACCCGTGTTTAGCAATTCTAGTTCTCGAGTGCCAGTATACGGCAACGTTTAATTGTGTCTCTGCTTCAACACACCTGAATCAAATAATCTGGTCATTAACAGGGCTATGGATTCCTGAACTGCATACTGAGGTTTTTCAGCCATTTTATTCAGGTGTATTGAAGCAAAGACAGAACTGAGAGTTGCAGTACACCCTCAGGCACTGGAATTTCCTTGTGATATAGGTATTGTTCAGTCATTTTTGTACTGTGTTAGATTTGTTCAGAGCCAGCTGAAAATAACGAGCTATTACATTTATCTTCCTTCAATGGTATTCCCCAAAATGTTTACAATTCAGTTTTAATGTCTGGCTTTTTGATGTTATATGCAATTCACTATGTGAAGTCATTGTGTTGTTAAACTGTGAGAGCATTTGTATTAAATTTTGTTACATTTTGCGTATTGTATTTTCTATAACATTTCATGTATTTTGTACTTATTTTTACAAAGTTAGAAGGCAAAATTTTATGTAGGAACAAGCGCACATTGTTTAATTTGTAGTTTTACACTGTAAAGTAAAAACAATGTAGTAGAAAATAGAGTTGATTTAGTCAAGTTAGACCAAGTAGTTAAAATGAGCTTCAAATTTCAATGTAATCAGAATGAAATTCTAACTTTAGTCACACCTTGTATTTTATTTTGAACAAACTTAATTAGATTGTGTGTTACCAGTTGACATGGTTTCTTCAAGTTCTTTCAAAGAGTTTTTTTAATATATATAGAGTTGATTTTTTGTGAATTTTTAAGTTGGACCGAAGTAGTTGGGTAATTTCAATTAACTTGAAATTTATAAATTGGACCAAAGGAGTTAAGATAATTTCAATAAACTTAAAATTTTTAAGTTGGACAAAGGAGTTAGGATAATTTCAATGAACTTGAAATTTTTAAGTTACACCAAGGTAGTTTGGTAATTTCAATTAACTTGTCATTTTTAAGTTGGACCAAAGGAGTTGGGATAATTTTAATGAGCTTAAAATTTTAAAGAAATCTAAATGAAAATCTTACTTTAATCAAACTTTATAGTTCACTTTGAACAAACTTGATTCAACTGTGTGTTACCAGTTGACATGGTTTTTTCAAGTTCTTTCAAAGAAACACTTTTTTCAGTGTAGGTGCAAGCTGGCATTTTCTTTTCCACACTGGTTCTAGTGTTTCACTTGTGAAAAATAACACTCTCCTAGTTTCACACAGCCATATGCAGAAAGTCAGGTCAATATAGCTATTTATACACGACCTCATTATACAGCAGGGTCATGCTATGTGCTATCTGTGTGTTCTTTCAAATTAAATAATATAGATCAAAATCATCGCATAAGACGCAGTCTCCAAGAATGAGATTGGATCCGTTTCATGTAATGACCCAAAGCAAACGGGGGGGGATTGGTTTAGTAGAATAAATAAACCCCATCTCTTCTTGGCAGATTTTTAGGTGAAAGCTCACACTTCAGTTTTAAAAACCTTTACAGCAGCGCATGATAGATGGAGAAGCTCAGGTGGGATTCAGAACCAAATTATCCATAAACATCAACACACGAATGAGTGAAGGAGAAAAACAATGAAAAGGGTTCACTTCAAAATCCGATCTAGTCCTTGAGATTATTTTAAGATTTTTCATGGAGTTATGCTCGACCCCACCAAAGGTAAACCTGCGCGTCTCACCAGTCAGCCAGATTACGTAGCACTAGTCGTTTTCTCTCAAATCCAAAGTTAACAAAGGCAGATGGTTGCGGAAGTGGTCGTCACCAGAATTATTTGTTCACAGCTTCAAGAGCTCTCTGGGCCAAGCAAACTAATTATATACCAAGGACAAAACGCCCTACACTTTCAGGCTCAAGTGAGGAACGCCTCAGCTGAAGCCCAATGTCAGTGACATGTAGTCCAGTGCTGGTGTTAGAGGGCGCAGCCTGTAGCTGGTAAGAGTGATATGAGCAGAGGTGATGGGAAGCTGTGAAGTAAATATCTGCTCGCTACAAAACACTGTTCTGACATTTAGGTATTCCACAAACACCTGTCTGCCTCCCAATGTGGAGGGAGAATTCTAACTTACAGCAAATATAAAAAAGGTCAGACATTTATAAAATATATACCATCTTATTCTGTCAGATGTAGCACCAGGCATCCTGTAGAGGTGGGAGATTTATGATACATCAGAAATTTCTCTGAATGTGAACCATGTGAATTCCACCTATTTCATAACGTAACTCGATTCACAGCAAAGCATCATGGACCATGAAGAAAAACAAAGTTAAAAAACACACACACACACACACACACACACACACACACACACACACACACACACACACACACACACACACACACACACACACACACACACACACACACACACACACACACACACACACACACACACACACACACACACACACACACACACACACACACACACACACACACACACACACACACACACACGGAGACTGGGATGAATTATTGTCCCAGTCCGTCCCCAACACTCGACTACCAAACTTCATTAACGTTCAGCTAACAACTAGCAGTTAGCAGTTTGGTTTTACTCAACACTCTTGCCTATCCGTCGGGTGGTTTTAACTTTGAAATAATGATGATTTGAAGAGGTAATCTATCTGAAAATCCACTTTGGTAGTGGCGGTGGCCAGCAAGCTGTCCGAAATCACGGTCACAGAAAAAAATCATTCTTACTCGATGTTTTAGAGACCCTGAAGATAACATCAATTAAACTCTTCTTTGGGACGACGGAGCTAATTCCTGTACCTCTAGCAGCCAAAAATGTGTTTTCACATTCTAGGCAATATCAAGTGCAGACTAGATGAGGAAATTACATTTTAACAACTGTGGGGATTGAACTCCCCACTAGCTACTTGGAAAGATTGGGGATTAGTGTTTACAGTCCAAGTTAAGAGCGGCTCTGGATTGGAGACTACCTGTATGGGGAGAGGCGATGCATAATGACGCAAACTGGCCCCATTCAGCCATTTGGACAGTCTCTTTGACTCACTTCCATCTGGCAGGAGGTTCCGATTAATTTGGACCAGAAACTCACCACAAAAACTGTTTTTTCCTCTCTGTAGTTGGACTCAGGAATGACAATCATAGAACTGCCCACTCCAGATTCAGTCACCTGTGTTGGCACCTGGACTGATCCGCTCTGACCTGTACCTACACTGACTTGTATATAGTAGCTGCTTCTCTAATTATTGCCTCCCTATACTATTATTATTTCATTGTGTTTATTTCTTAATTCAAATTTTTTCTCATCATTAATTTTTTCTTGCACCAATTACTGCAGCAGTATGTTGTGATTTCTTGCACAAATGGCAATAAAACCCTTCTGATTCTGAGTGAGGCCAAAAACCATATTGGGAGTATTTTGATGAGGAAATAATAGTATACCATGGTCAAAAGCTTCAGAAAGTGGATTTTGCATGATGTAGTCCTTTTAACTGATCTTTTTGCTGCCATTGTATTTATTTACAAGAATAAAATATTGAGATGTGCATTGCATGTTGAAAATCTGCCAAAAAATATTCAGACCACATCACTCAGCCCTACTTAGCCAGATTTACTTGAAATAGGAATTGTATCGTCATATGATCCAAGTACTGCAATTAATTGCAAAATGACAAAAAAATAAAGATTTTTGTTACCAATCATCACTCATCTAACTCAGACTCTTTTTAGAATGTAGGCAAGGCAACATGCACAAGGTTACTTTCCAGATCTGCATAGAGCCAAGATTCAATCTGTCGTCACAATATGTGGTAGGTATCTGGGCCAATGTGCTCAAAACGGGAAAAAAAGGAAGACAAAAAAAATAATAAATAAAGAAAATGCCAGAGTGACAGTGCAAAACAATCTAATTTATGTACACGGGATACAATAAGGAGCAACACAAACCCAGCCCCAGTATGTGGGTGATGCCTCGGCTGGGTATTGAAGCACAGCCTTCAATACAACATATTGATCTTAGCACACAAAGACCCTGAATTTATTGATCCACCTTTAGAAAAAATAAAGGGGGATGGGGAAATGAACTACCCTTTCAAACAAACTAAGTGAAACAGCAGCCTAAGCTTTAAAAATCAAAAACAGAGCCCATGAAAAACAAAATAAAGATGACCACAAGTTTGCTCACGATGCCCCATGGTGACAAAGAAAGTATGTGAAGCATGCAGCAGCTGCACAAGCTTCGCAACGCCTCATGTTGCTCTTAAACTTTTTTTTTTCTCCAAATCAAGGCACGAGAGCTCTTAAGATCATCATAAAATAATATTCAAACAATACAAAAGTCTGTTTGTGGATTCAATTATTAATCTGTGGCAGATTAAAACATACCTAGTGCAGTTTAAAACCAAGATTTTGACAGCAGGTCATTGTTTCTAGCAGAGGTTCTATTCTTGTCAGTTCCTTTGTTTATAATGCTTTTAGAAGACAATTAATAATAATACATCTGAAAATCCCCCAATTCTGAGATCTTCATGTTTCCCAGAAATGTGTCTGTGTTTATTTCTCTAAAGATGGACGATCAACCCTTAAGGTCACAATACCACAAGGTAAAATAAGGTCATGGATTTGTGGCCTCCCGTGACATGTCAGGACCTCTGGAACTGGTCTGTCTTTCTTCTCTACTTCATCAGGGAAATCCCAGCAGCCTCATTTCCAATCGGGAGACCAGAAAAAAAAGAGTTGACTTGTCACCGAGTACTTGCCCCAGTTTACATGAGCGGGTTAAGCTAGGTCACTGCTCACCAAATGCTGGGGCCCCTAAAAACACATGTGAGAGTGTCCGGCTTCAGTCGACAACATCAGAACCTCAAACAGAGCAAAGAGAACCAGAACATAAAACCGCTCACAAGTAAAACCAAAATGTACATTTTACAAGTATGTTTTTACGGTCAAAGAGGGTGAAATCTAGTTTGTTCAAGAGGTTAGCCTTGCAAAAACACAGCAGGGGGGGGTAATTATTCTTAATGATAGATTAGCTGCAAATTCCTAGACATATTTATCCCAAGAGAGCGTTCTTGTGGACATTTACGCTAATTGTTTCAATCACATTATTAAACTGGTCAATTGTAAATCCCTGAATCAACCCCCAAAACCAACCCCCCATGGATTTGCGGCGCCAACTCACAGGACTCGTTTGTCACCTTCACATTTAAAGCACTTGAACCTAAGCCAAAGTGTACCATTAGCATACCTATTTCTCCATTGCCAGAGCTTGCATAATTGTCAAGAAAAAAGTACAAGTCCAGGTTGAGGGGTGGAGGAAAGAAAAATGAACTCAGAATAGAAAATTGAGGGTAGAGATTGCAGAACAGCAGAATAAGAGGACCTATTAGGCTCAATTAAGCGTTTGGGCTTTTCATTAACCTACTTTTATGGAGGGAAACCTCTGCTGAATAATGCTCAGTCTGACTTGCTTTGCTTCTCTGCTTTAAAGACTTCATCAAGACAGAAAGAAAAAATGGCACAATGTGTCAGCTCTCCAAAGCCACCAGAATTTCATTAGACACCCAGGGGCAAACCACCCGCAGTCACAGCCTACCTCCGATTAAATGGAATCTAGTAAAACAAGTCACTTTATCAAACATCTAAACAAGATCAGAGGAAATACTGCCCGGATGTGTAAAGACTTCAGCTTCATGTGTTTATAGGAATAATGTGTGGTCATTTCTCACCATTCCGTATCAGACACAGGCAAATATTTCAGGTATGAAAGCAAGGTGGTTTTGCATTACAAACAATGAGCTCAATCTCCCTTTAACGGATCACTGGAGGAGAGTTCTCATAGAAGAAGCCTTGTCCTACTGGGCCATTCATTTCTACAGAAACCCCCCATGGAACCAGTTAAATGTTAGCTCTTTTTCTGCGTCAACCTAACTGCGTGTAAATTCGTTAGCTGGTAGGCCACAATTGGCATTATCAAATCCCAGGAGGTCTTCCTTAAATTGCATACAATGCCTACTGTTTGCAAGGCAATGGCCACCATTTCCACACTGAGCACAGGATGTGTATTCTCCCAGTGGATACAGGGAAAAAAAAGTGATGCAATTAGACAGAACTAAGTTATCTAGCAGTTCGCCCCATTGTGCCTAAGATGTGTCTGGGATCAAAAGGAAACATAATATGAGCAGGATTCTGATCACTGACATCCTACACGATCTTCTGATAGTATTACACAGATGCTCGAGCAGATCCTATTTCAAATAAGCCCACTGAACCGACGTGCAAGTGGTGAGCGTTCATCAATAACGCAAGGAGACGTCCATGTCTGCTGGAATTAGCTGAGTGTGTTATTTATAGCGTGGTAAAGGCTGAATATTTTATTGTAATGCTTTCAGACTTGTTTAACGTTCTCGCTGATGTTTCAGTCCATGTTTGGGGCCTCTCAGGGCAGAAATGGCAAAGCTAATGAAAAAAAGTACCACAGGTGGCTATAGAAGCAACACTTTGAATGGGCTTCAGCAACTGGTCGCAAACAATATTCCGAACCAGCATGGTGACAGCGAAGCAGGAAAACTTCAGGAATACTCCTCACTGTGGGGGCTTTGTCTTTCAAAACGTGCCACAGGAGCTTCTCATTAGAGAACTGAGTTTCATTAACATCGTCCCACTCTGTTTGTGCCCTGCTGCATCACAATGACACAGGAGTGCCCCTCTCGGTCAAGGAAATCTCCTCACAGCAACAACTCGCTGGGGGATGGGATGGCGAGAAGAATAGAAGGGGGTAGAAAGGGGGCCAGACAAAAGGGAACCCGATTACCCCTGGTCACGGCTCATCCACATGCCAACACAGGGAAATCCATCACCTGCAGGATCAAATGGAAACTTGTGCAAAGAGCAAAGCTCAGTGAGAGTAGTACCCACCCATCTAACTACTTCCCTTTCTCCTTTTTTGTCTCATCACTGCCACCTTTCCCTTCCACCTCTCTGACTCACACCAACAGCTACGTGTAAGTTTTAGGCCCACACTGTGAAATCCAACACGAACGAGAATGCTTTCTGGTCAGAATGACCTCAAAGCCCTATCCACTCTAATGACACACTGGTGATATATTCCAGATTTTATTACTGCCTGTAGACCTGTGCATCATTTCATGGTAGGTTCATATTTGCTAGCATCATGCTCTGACGAAGATGTGTTGCTGCAAAATGGACAAAAGCAAATATCTGTATAAGTTGTACACATTTATGATCACAGAAACTGCATTTAAGTGCCATTGGAGTCAAGCAAAATCCTTTAAAGTCCACAGAGATAGCAGAAATCATACATAACAACGCCGAGGCAGTAATCCAACACAACTGCTAAATAATGGCAATTATACAATAAAAGTAATACACAAGGCCAAGAAATGGAATTTTTAATAACTAGATTACTTTCTCAGTTAAAGTTGCTTAAGTATTTCAATCTGTTGGTAACTGATTTTTTTTTCATTGCACATTATGAATGTCCCAAAGTGCAACCAAAAAGTTATTTTTTTAAATCACAGCCAGAAGTTTATATTCATCTAAAAAATGCTTATGCATGTGCAAAAAAGGAGCAAACACAACGTAGAACCAAGCCTTTATAAATCGATGCATGTTACGAGCCAAGCATGAAGAAAAGCAAAAACTCAAACAAGGTGCAGAAAAGGGAAAACGTTAGAGGCTGGTTAACGAGGCAAACAACATGAGTAGCAATACCGCACAACTGCACCGAAGCTAATTGTTTAAATATGTCGGCCTTGTTCAGATCCTCCCCCTGAAACTTCACACATAGAGGCAGACAAACTGAACTAATGCACACGCCAGCGTAGAAACACACTCAGAACAGGCATCCTGCACGAAACAAGAATTTTGGTTCTCCACCACTCACCGTGGAAAAGAGGCCATCCTTTCTCTGCGATATCTGGCACCACGACAGTGTATAGATCTTCAGAGAAGCCTGGCCTGCATGGTAGGGCACCCCTGGCCTCCACTGCAATCTGTAATGGGGTGGGGTAGAGGGGTTAAAATGAGTCATAAATCAACCTTCAAAAATGCACTCTGTTGTCTCCAGAACCTCTTGCTCACATTCTGAATTCCCCCCAGTTGTACAAAAGCATCTGTTGTTTTTATAGTGGGGGCTGCAATTAGGATAATGAGGCCAAAAGGGTTAAGCATTAGCCAAAAAGCACGGCTAGGCAAGAACAAGCTCCATTTGTCCCAGAAATGGGGCCCAGGAACAGGGATGGGGTCTGGCACCCCCCCCCAATCAACACACCGCTCTGGACAAACACCATTCACTTTGAAGTAGAGGAACAAGGGAATAAAAGTAAATGCTAACAACCCACAGAGCAGGGAATAAACATTTGTGTGTCTGAATAAACACTTGAAAACTACCATTTCTTTTTATTTTTCTCAAAGAGAACTGCCAGAAAACAGCTAATCAATACACTCCCTTTTTGTATTTGTGTGTGGCTTCAAAAAAGTAAAACCTGCTCGAGATGTCTTTAGAATGGATTAAGAGTGGTTGCAGATAAACTGAAAAACACATCAAAATAACTGAAGCTCAATATTTCTTTAGGAAATTATTTCAGGAGGGGGAAAGGAGAAAAGTGAAACTCTTATGAACACAGTCCTGGATTTTTTTGATTTTTTTGATTTTTTATCCTTGCATGCACTGTCAGGAGAAAGCAAAATGAGGAGAGTCTTGGTGAAAAAGAGCACTGTGCCATTTCTAATCAGAGGACTTGAAATGGAAAATACAAGCACGAGGAGGGGGTAGAGTATCCTCAAATCATGGCAGCAGGTTGTCCATTTGTTTTTAAATAAACAAATGTTAACACACAAGGCAACCGAACTGCTGTTCTTCCTTGAACAGGGCAGAGTTGTAATGCAATCAAGACAAGAAAACACTAAATAAACGCAACAATACCTGTAAGTTTGTTTTTGTAATGTTAAGGAACATAAATATCCCTTAATGTGTACATAAACTGGATTAGACCGACAATATGGAGTAGTGCGCTTTACATTGTTAATATAACGACTTCCACCAGTCAAGGAGCTAATTAACGCGAACATACTGCAGCATTCCACATAAATATTAAACACTAAAACTAAATATAACAGAGAGACATGTGGGTTAATCAAGGCCTGCGTCGATCAACTCAACAAGGGACACTCGTAAATTCAAATTATCCTCAATTTGATTAATTCGAATGCGCGTCCGGTTTTTGGCCTCGTTCGCGTCAGCGTTCAACAAAAATCAGCCGTGAGCGATTAATTGCAGCTAAAGCCAGGCTCCAGCGACTTTTATCGGCAATTCTAGACCATGACCAGCAGTGTTTTATTTTAATTCTCAGCTGCAAGCGGTGCAAAGTGCCCAGCGAGGAGCTACCAACTCGCCGCTTCGTAACTCAACAAGCAGCATCAGCAGCAACAGAACCGTGAAGTGTCCGGCAGGAAGTCGGCTCCGGGATGACATTTACCTGCAGTCCCGCTAAGACCAGCAGCAAAAGCAGCCCGCTGCCCTCGTGGAACGGGTACATTGGTACGTCACTCCTTTATTCCCTCTCGCTTCGGAATCCGTAGAATAAAAGATGGTCGGTTTTAATTAGGAGGAAAAAATCAAGAGAAAATCCCACTGGATTATGAGTGGCCTCGGTACAGCTCCGTGCTCGACAAAGGCAGGAGGAGCGGCGGCGGCAGCATGAATGTGTGAGCCTCCTCCTCCTCCTCTTTCTATCTGTCTATCCAGTCCGTACTGAGGGAGAGCACTGCCTGGTACTGAGGCTGCTGCGCCCTCCCATCCAGTCTGGCTCACAAACAAAACCAACCCCGGCCGCTAGGCAATAAGCCGCCCACCTCTCTGTCGCCCTCTTCCGGTTACGCATCAAATGTAATTACTGGGGCCCAGAAAGCCGCCTCCTCTCATCGCCCCATTATTTTTCTTTTTTTCTTTTTTCTTTTTTTGTCTTCCCATTTTTGTTGAAGTACTTGAAGATGCGGCTCTGATGGTGTTCTTGGAAAATGTATGACTGCAATTCCCCAGCTTGTCAGCTTGAAAACGTAGGTAAAAGGAGGGGAAACTGCTGATAGGGCTTTAGGACTCTGATTATTATCAATTCAAACCAATTATGATGGCTATCTTTTTAGTAAAAAAATGTCTTCAGATTTTTCCCAAAGGACATTCCTTAGCGTGTGCAGAAAAGGCAGCAGAACTTAACAATGGTTTCTGTGTTTTATGGTCTGATTTCACCGCTGCTCGTTGTATTCTAGTAGAATCTCCTGGAAATAAAACAATAAATACATTAATGAAAAAGCCAGCCTTCGAAAGGAATAATAAATCTCATATGTAATTTATATACAGCATCTCATATTTAGATATTGCCCCATTTTTCCTGTAACATTTGAAATTTGGTATTGTATTCCCAATCACGAGACACCACATCCTTTATTGTTTTTCATTAAAATTCCATCCATCAGCTCCTAGCTCCTCAGAGAAAAGTGAGTTTTGAATGTCACAGGCATCAGTAATTCAGAATTCACTCACTTGTCTGACAACCTGCATAAAAAGCTGCCCAGATGCTATTGATCATTAGCCCTGAGATTCTGATCACAACCTCCCCTAGATAATTGCTGTTTACCGCATGTTTGATCTTGAGGATTATTAATTGTCAATGACTTGACGTTAAATCTTTTTGTGCCACCCGTCCCTGGTGTTTTGGTACATGCACAACGCTCTGCCTAATAAGGTGTCTATTTCAGAAAGAAATCAATTGCTTTGGAGTTCTGAAGTTCACATTTGGTTTGTTTCCCTCTCCACTTAAAGTCAGAATTTATAAGTAAATATTATTTTTTTCATGTTCTCTAAGGAGAATCAATGAATCATTTCTTAATATTATCTTTTCATGTGATACAGGTTAAATTACCTGCTGCTGACACCCAATTAACTACACAGAGATGGCTCTGTGGAATAGAGTGCACCAGTGACACTGAAGATATTTCAGTTCAGTGGATAAAACAAATACTTATTCCATATCCAGATAATAAACAAAGGCTGACTTTTGGCTCACTTTCTCCTGGGTAATATATTGTTTTCTGCTATTGACGTTTTGTGCTGCAAGTGAGCGTGTGTGATGAGCGCAATGCTTACTATTACAAATCAAACCCTCTGGTCCAGAAAATCTGTGTGATCCTACCTGTAAGCACATTCCAGATACAGTCAACCGCTGACTCATATGAGCAAATGTTCATTGTTTCATTTTAATAAAAATCAAAAATGCATGTTTCATGCTTGTGTCACTTATTAGCAATTTCAGGTGTTTTCCTTTTGTAAAATTTATAAATAATTACTATTTTACATATTAAATGGCTTCCCGAACAAGTAGAGTTTACTTCAATAGGTCAGCTAAAAACAATGTGAGATATATAGATAGATAGATATTAAGGGTGGAAATTACAATTTATTAATTAGAAAAAACAATTTACCCTGAGGGCGTAAAAGTACTGCGTCAAAATGTATGCCCTGTATATCAATAAATACCATCAAACTGCACTTCTAATAATGTGTGTGTGTGTGTGTGTGTGTGCGTGCGTGCGTGCGCACGCACACACACACACAGCAGCAGCAGTAGCAGATGATCTGTCACCCTTAGTCTTTTGCCTGGTGCGCTGCACAGTCATCATTGTTCACTGGACCTCAGGGACCTGCTGGGGGTGTAGGGACTAAGAAGATCACCAATGTAAGATGGGGCTTGTCCATGTAAGGCCCTATAGACCAGAACCAGGATCTTGAAATGAACCCTGAAGTTGATTGGCAGCCAGTGAAGCTGGAGGAGAAGCGGGGTGATGTGGGTGTGTTTGGAGGACTTTGTCAGAAGCCGAGCACAGGCATTCTGAACCACCTGTAGACGGTTCAGGGAGGTTTTGCTCAGACACGTGAAAAGAAGGTTGCAGTAGTCTAAGTGTGAGGAGATGAAGGAGTGGATAGGTGTTGAAGGGATCCGTTTTGGTGGCCCGGGGATCAGGTCTCTGCTTTTTGCAGATGATGTGGTTCTGTTGGCTTCATCAGAACGTGATCGCCAGCTTTCGTGGGAGAGGTTCGCAGTCGAGTGCGAAGCAGCTGGCATGAGTCAGCTCCTCTAAATCCAAAACCATGGTCTTGAATCAGAGAAGGGTAGGAGGTCCTGCTCCAAGTGGAGGATTTTAACTCATTCACTGCCAGACGTTTCCTGATCAGTAAAGCCCTTTGCTGCCAGCAATTTTCAAAGTTTGGATTTAAAATGACGACTGTTGTCTTCAATGGTAGTGAATGACTTAATCAATTGCTTTTTAAGAGTGTTTATTGTGCCTTTCTTCAGTGTTTATGGTGCATGTGTTCATTACATTCGTGTTTATTAACTCATTCACTGCCAGACGTTTCCTGATCAGTAAAGCCCCTTGCTGCCAGCAATTTTTAAAGTTTGGATTTAAAATGACGACTTTTGTCGTCAATGGCAGTGAATGAGTTAAGTATATCAGGGTCTTGTTCACAAGTGAAGGAAAGTGGAGCGTGAGATTTATAGATGGATTGGTGCTGCCTCTGCTGGCTAGTCTTTAGAGATAGGGTGAGAAGCTCAGTCATCCGGGAGGGGCTTGCAGTAGATCTGCTGCTCCTCCACATTGAGAGGAGCCAGTTGAGGTGGCTCGAGAATCTGGTTAGCAAGCGTCCTGGACACCTCCCTGGTGGGGTTTACCGGACACGTCCAACTGGGAGGAGACCTAAAGGAAGACTCAGGACATGCTGGAGGGATATGTTTCTTAGCTGGTCAGGGAACACCTTAGGATTCCCCCGGAGGAGCTGGCCTAAGTGGCTTGGGAGAGGGAAGTCTTGGTCTTCCTGCTTAGGCCCTGCGACCAACCCCGGATACATAGTAGCAGCTCAGGAGGTAGAGCCCGTTTTCCAGTAATCAGAAGGTTGCAGGTTAGATCCCAGCTCCCACTAGAGTATGCTGCTGTTGTGTCCTTGGGCAAGATTCTTAACCCGTCTTGCCTGCTAGTGGTGGTCGGTGGGACTGGTGGTGCAAATGTATGACAGGCCTCGCCTCTGTCAGTGTACCCCAGGGCAGCTGTGGCTACATTGTAGCTCATCATCACCAGTGAGTGAATGTGTGTGTGTGTGTGTGTGTGTGTGTGAATGGGTGAATGGCTGATTCTGTTAAGTGCCTTGGGGGGTTGTAGAACCCTATAGGTACTATACAATTACAGGACATTTACCATTTTAAGTGTGTGTGTGTGTGTGTGTGTGTGTGTGTGTGTGTGTGTGTGTGTGTGTGTATGAGTGGCAGTGCACTAGTTTGAGAGTGTGTGCGACGGAGGGCGGAGCGGGCAGTGCAGAGGAAGCACGCTGCTGCACAGCTGGAGCACATCGTTAATCAGAGCTCACCTCTTGTATATAAGAGGAGGAGGAAGCAGAGCAGGAAACATGCTGGAACTGAAGTGATCTTTACAGTAAGTATACAAATAAAAGTATAAAACTACAGCCTAGAGGCTCTTTTATGCAATGCTACGAATGCAGAACTTTGTCAAGCAGGGATTTATCAGCAGGTCTCCGATGTTCTAAACTTGCTTTCTGGAATGCCCCCCAGGCAGCTGGCAAACTAGCAATAAAAGTGAGCACGTCCTGTTTACAACATGGAGTGACAGCAGGAACGGCCAATGACATGTTAGCAAGTACCAGCAGAACCAATAGATGAGCTTATGGATGGTTCTAATGGCAAACAGGCTTCAACACAAGCATGTGTTTTCCATTTGGCCCTAGTGCTCAACCAGTGTCTATTTAATGTTGCGTGATATTGTTTTGGGGACGGTAAAAAGCGCAGAGGGCAAAAATGTACTTTGGAAAAAGTAAATGTCCCCCCTTTCAGTTCAATAAAGTTAACTATGCAACAGAGGGAGTATCTTCACTTCCTGCTGTAGAGTAAATCTGTTCCAATAGAATGAGTCTCAAATCCAGCATTCTGACTCTCTATGTAGTCCAAACAGGACAGAGTTACTCCCACCTACTTCTGCACCATGGGTCCCCGGAAGAACGAAAAAATGAATGCAAGTCAATGAGGCTAAAAACTGCATTTTTTCCTAATTCCGCTTGTTTTGTGCCATGGATTTCACATATGATGTCCGAGAATTTTATAGACACATTTTGATACCAAGAACGCACTTATTTTCGAACAGAGAGAAACTCTATTTTAGGTTTTGTGTGAAAATAAGTCCAGGACTACAAATGCACTTCACGAAAGTGATGTAATCGAACCAGACACGGAGAAAGCTGAGGGAAGTGGGCTGTAAGTTCAGCAAACTTCCCACAGGAGGAAAACACCATAAATCTGGTCATTTGGTAAGTAGCAGCTACTTTGGAGTGAGGAGATAATGTGGGGACGTCACACATGCAACGTGCCTATTTCTAGTTTGTAGTCATGCTAATTACAAACTTTTACAAGCTGATAAATTTCAAAGTACATGACTGGCATGGTCAAAACACCCGTCATTACTTTTCATTGAAATTGCAGTACAACATATGTGTGATCCAGGGCGTAAGGCAAAGCGGATTAGAAAATAGCATTTTTAACCCTGTTGACTTGCATTTGTTTTTTCGTTCTTCTGGGGACCCATGAGCCGACCGGAAAGGGAGGAGACTTAGGCTCCCTATTGGGAATATATGCAACATTAACAGCATGACATTTTCAAATTTTATCTGCATCTGAAGCTCGAGTCTGACAGAAATGTCCTAAAGGGGGCACATTGCACAAAACTCATTTTTT